GGAGGAGGAGGGGGGGGGAGGAGGAGGAGGAGGAGGAGGAAGACTGTGGGGTCCTTGGTGTTCTCTGAGCTTGCTTATTTTCTTGGAAACATTTCATTACCCAAACTAGGGAACATCCCCTCTGTGCTAGTGATCAGCACGAGTGATGTTATCCACAAGAAAAACAGCCCAGCTGAGCGAACACCAAGGTGCCTTCCTTTCCACCCTGAGCGACCAATATTCTCCTTTATCGGGGCCCGTTAAGTTGAGGACCACCCACATTTTATCTGTACATCGCCAGTATCCCTCTGCCGGGGACGCCGGGCCACTTCCTAAATGCCATGAGCGAAAGGAATAAAACACGTTATTATCGGGGCGATCATTCCAGCGGACAAATCCTGGCTGTCAGCCAAGGGGCACAACGAGCCGGGCCCTTCCTCTCCTCCGGGCTCCCCCAGGGCGTGGGGAAGGGGCCTTCGAGGAAAGGGCTCAACTCAGGTGTGCAAGCAAAGCCCAAACGGGGCTTTTGCGGGAGGAATTAACCCGCCAGCTGTTCCCTTTCGCTTCCCCCCCCCTTTGATAAACGAGATGGGCGCCACCTTTTTCTGGTAATTACCAGCTTAACAGGCAGTTACAGGATCAAGGGCAGAAGCCGGCCAGGCTGAGGGCAGCCCCCTCTCCCTTCGGCTATAAATCACCGACAACCAGTTCTCACTTACTCCGAGGAAGCTTGCCTGAGCCAGCTGCAGGCGGTTGGGGGGGAATCCAGACTGAATGCGGGGAGCAGAAGCACCCCTCTCCGCTTGCACTTAAAGGCCCCAAAGAATCAATCAGAAAAGAGCTGGAAGGGACCTTGGAGGTCTTCTAGTCCAGCCCCCTGCTCAAGCAGGAGATCCTAGGCCAGTGGTTCTCAACCTTTTTAATGCCACGACCCCCAACCGGTCGTAAGTCGAGGACTACTCAACCGGTCGTAAGTCGAGGACTACTCAACGGGTGCAGCACCGTTTGCAGACTGGGACTTTTGGCGGGCTCAGCAGGGCAGAGTCAGCCTGGACCATTCCTATTGGCTTTGGAAAGCCAATAGAATGAGACTCTATTCAAGAGAGTCTATTCGATTGGCTTTCAAAAGCCAATAGAATAAAAGGGAGTAGCACAGCTAAGGAAAAGGGGAAAAAAATGGCAGATGGCGTTGTTTGGCGACCCCCGTGAAATGGTCGTTCGACCCCAAATGGGGTCCCGACCCACAGGTTGAGAACCACTGCGGTAGACCATTTCTGACAGTAATTCAATCAGAATAGATCTGGAAGGGACCTTGGAGGTCTTCTAGTCCACCCCCTGCTCAAGCAGGAGATGCTAGGCCATTTCAGACAGTAGTTCAATCAGAATAGAGTGGAAGGGACCTTGGAGGTCTTCTAGTCCACCCCCTGCTCAAGCAGGAGATGCTAGGCCATTTCAGACAGTAGTTCAATCAGAATAGAGTGGAAGGGACCTGGAGGTCTTCTAGTCCACCCCCTGCTCAAGCAGGAGATGCTAGGCCATTTCAGACAGTAGTTCAATCAGAATAGAGTGGAAGGGACCTTGGAGGTCTTCTAGTCCACCCCCTGCTCAAGCAGGAGATGCTAGGCCATTTCAGACAGTAGTTCAATCAGAATAGAGTGGAAGGGACCTTGGAGGTCTTCTAGTCCAGCCCCCTGCTCAAACTGGAGTCCCTACCCCATTTCAGACAGATGGCAGTCTAGTCTCTTGAAAGCTTCCAGCGATGAAGCTCCCACACCATCTGAAGGCGATTTCTGTTCCATTGGTTGATTGTTCTCGCGGTCAGGAAATTTCTCCTTATTTCCAGGTTGCATCTCTCCTCGATTAGATTCCATCCGTTATTCCGTGTCCGGCCTTTGGGTGCTTTGCAAAATAGGTGGCCCCCCTTCTCTCTGTGACAGCCCCTCAAATATTGGAAGACTGCTATCATGTCACCCCTGGTCCTTCTCCTCACTAGACTAGCCGTGCCCAGTTCTTGCAACCGTTCCTCCTATGTTTCAGCCTCCAGCCCCCCGATCATCTTTGTCGCTCTTCTCTGCACTTTTTCCCTAGAGTCTCGACATTTTATTTTATTTATTTATTTCAGTATTTATATGCCGCCCAATCCCAAAGGACTCAGGGCGGCGTACAAAGTTAAAACAATGATAAAACAATAAAATAAAGCAGTCATACCGCGAGTCCGATCATATCCCGGCCCCACGGGGACATCAGCCCCAGGCCTGCCGGAACAGGACGCTTTTAACGGCCTTCCTAAAGGCCGGCAGGGTGGGAGTAGTTCGAACCTTGGGGGGAAGCTGATTCCACCAGGTCGGAGCCACCACAGAAAAGGCCCTTCCCCGAGGGCCCGCCAGCCGACATTGTCTGGCCGACGGGACCTGAAGGAGGTCCAATCTATGGGACCTCACTGGTCTCTGGGAGCTGTGCGGCAGAATGCGGTCCTGTAAGTAACCTGGCCCTATGCCATGAAGGGCTTTGAAGGTGATAACCAACACCTTGAATTGCGTCCGGAGACCCACAGGAAGCCAGTGCAGCTTGCGGAGGATAGGTGACACGTGGGCGTACCTTGGCGCGCCCACAATCGCTCTCGCGGTTTCTACAGGGTGGAGACCAAAAGCAGTTATTCCGAGTCTGGCCTTGCTAAGGCTTTACAGAGCGGCGTTAGTACCTCACGCGATCTTGATCGAACGCATGCCTCTGCGGATGCAACGTGGGATTGCATTGACCATTTCGGCTGCAGGATCCAATCTGGGTCGGTCACCGGGACCGAAAGCTTAGCCGGACGAGCTTGAGTCGGTCCCAATGGCCGAGCCAAATTGGATCCTGCAAATTTAAGTCTGGTCCTGCTTTTCCAGGGACCTGTGCCGTGAGTGTCTCACCAAATCAAGCCTCCGGGAGCAGCAGCCTGGAAGGAAAACGTAGCTAGCTGCTTTGACCCCCAATTTTATTATTTATTTCTTTTTTTAAAAAAAAGCAGTTTCTCATCCGGGCAACACATCTGGCTAGCTGTGCTTCACCCGCTGGGTCCGCAGCTGTGCAGAGAGAACTGAAGGAACCTTTGCCCCCAAGCCTTTGCCTGCCAAGTTTTGAATCCTCGCCATCCATCCCGAGTCGTAAGAGAGGTGGGTCCTTTGGATCAGGGCTTTTCAACCTTTTCACCCATTGTGCCCCTTTTAGGATATGGCAACATCCGAGTACTGAGGAATTCTGGGAGTTGAAGTCCGCAAGTCTTAAAGTGGCCAACTTTGAAGACTCCTGCCCTAGATCATTCCAGTCAAATGGCTGTCCACTCTCTTCTTAAAAACCTCGAATGTTGGAGCACCCACCAACTTTGTTATCACGGTAGCCAGGATCCATTTTGCAAAAGGCAGACTTTGGAGGGTGTTCTTCAAACTGGGGGGTGAGGCGTGGGTTTCATGGCCAAGGGATCAAGGCACAAGGTGCAAATCAGCCAGTGGGGGGTGCGTCTCTGTGTGTGTATGTGTGTGTTGGCCAGGGCCTCAGCTGCTCTACCCTTTAATGCAGGGGTAGTCAACCTTGGCTCTTTTATGACTCGTGGACTTCAACTCCCAGAATTCCTGAGCCAGCTTAGCTGGCTCAGGAATTCTGGGAATTGAAGTCCACAAGTCATAAAAGAGCCAAGGTTGACTACCCCTGCTTTAATGCATTAATGATTCACCTGTGGAGATGGTTACCAGCATCAAATTCCTGGGTGTGCAGCTAACGAGTAGGCTGGCCTGGTCAGTCAACAGCGAGACACTGGCAAAGCGGGCACGGCAGCGCCTGCATTTTCTGCATCGCCTGAGAAAAGCACATCTTCCTTCCCCTGTCCTGACCACTTTCTACAGGGGGACGATCGAGAGCATCCTGTCCTACGGCATCACAGTCTGGTTTGGAAGCATCCCTGCTTCGGACAGGAAGGTGGTGCAGAGAGTGATGAGGACGGCCAAAAAGATCATTGGCAGCTCCCTCCCTCTCATCCAGGACACGGCACAGAAGCGTTGCTTGAGCAGGGACCGCAAGATTGTCTGGGACACAACACATCCTCTTCACGACCTGTTTATCTTTTTACTTTCTGGGAGGAGGGGGCTTTGTGGTATCCGTAGCAGAACATCCAGATTCAGCCAGAGTTTCATTCCACACAGCATTAACCTTGTGAACTCTCAAGCTTCCTCCTTCGGTTACGTTTTCAAGATGGACAGTATTTAATATTTGCTACGTACATGTAGGGGTGTGGGTCTACAACAGTGGTTCTCAACCTGTGGGTCGGGACCCCATTCACGGGGGTCGCCAAACAACGCAGTCCGCCATTTTTTCCCCCCCTTTTCCTTAGCTGTGCTACTCCCTTTTATTCTATTGGCTTTTGAAAGCCAATAGAAGAGACTCTCTTGAACAGAGTCTAATTCTATTGGCTTTCAAAAGTCAATAGGAATTGTCCAGGCTGTCTCTGCCCTGCTGAGCCCGCCAAAAGTCCCATTCTGCAAACGGTGCTGCACCAGTTGAGTAGTCCTCGACTTACGACCGGTTGAGTAGTCCTCGACTGATGACCGGTTGGGGGTCGCGGCATTAAAAAGGTTGGGAACCACTGGTCTATACATATGTTGTGTATAGTATGTTTTAGATGTGTGTCATGTATGTGTTTCACTTTGAGAGCGGGCGCATCTAAATTTCATTTTTTGATGTGTGCCATTGTGCCCAGTAAAAAAAATGACAATAAAGGTTATCTTATCTTATCTTATCTTATCTTATCTTATCTTTATACCTGGAAGCCCTACTAAAGTGGCAGACAGCCTCAACGCTGCCGAGTGGCATCCAGCCTAATGGGCTAAAGTACCACTACTTTAAGTTGAAATGCAAGAGACATTAGCCCCGTAACTGTGGGAAGTGCTGCATCAAAGGATGTGCAAATGAAGCCGGTTAGAAAGCGTCCCCCCCACCCCTTACTGTCTCCGCAGACAACCACGCAGCGTCCGAGACGACAAACCAACCTTGTCCTTTGAAATCTTGTGTGCGAAAGGACACGTCCCGTCCGTCTTCTTGCATGCGCCGCGCAGGAATCTGTCGAGCGGACAAAAGAGGAGAGGGTTAGGAGATCCAGAGAGTAAGGAAAGACAGGGGGGTCTTCAACTTATGAACGCAACGGGGACGAGGCAATTGTTAAAGAGGGGTGAGCTTGATTTCGTAATTTTTTTTTTTAAATCACGGCCGTTAAGCAAATCGCCGCAGTTGCAGAAGGAGAGAGCCTGCGGAGGTGGTGGAGTCAACAGAGGAAGTAGCCTGGAATCGTGACATTGCCGTAACCCGTACCAACCCTTCTCAAAGTCTTTTTAACCCAGCGCCCATTGAGTGCCAAGCATGAATCGACTCAATTCCCGCGTACAGGCCTGAGCAATAAATCAGCTGAACTGGAACCTCATGTGTGGTCCTCGTTCGTCACGCCCGACATTAAGAGAAACAGGCTGTCATCAAGCTAAGCTGGCCACTTTCCTTGATTTCGCTCGTCGGACACTGGCTGGGGAGATCGCAAATGGCGATCCCGTGATTGCCGAGATGCGGCAACATGGTAAATACACGCCTGTTGCCAAGTGCCTGAATGTTGATCACAGGACCGTGGGGATACTGTGCAAGGAGTGTTTGGAGTCGCTTTTTTCAGTGCCGTTGTAACTTCGAGCAGTTGCTAAACAAATAAATGGTTGTAAGTTGAAGCCTACCATTGCCTAGGCCAGGGGTGGGGAACCATGGGCCTTTTATGACTTGTGGACTACAGCTCCCAGAATTCCTGAGCCAGCATGGGGAACCATGGGCCTTTTATGACTTGTGGACTTCAAGTCCCAGAATTCCTGAGCCGGCCATGCTGAGGGGAAAGGGAGAGGTTTCCAAACTGAGCCATGCTGGCTCAGGGATTCTGGGAGTTGAAGTCCACCAGTCATGAGAGGGGGGCATAGTTTCCCCATGCTGGCTCAGGAATTCTGGGAGTTGAAGTCCACCAGTCATAAAAGAGCCATGGTTGCCTACCCCTGCTCTAGAAGGCTCACCGCTTAGAACAAGACAGGGGTAGGCAACTTTGGCCCCTTCATTTGCTGGCTGGGGAATTCTGGGAGTTGAAGTCCACGGGTCTTCAAGTGGCGAAGGTTGTCAAAGGTGATATCCTAGCTGGGATGTAACCTGGAATTTTCGGCCAGCTCCGCCGAAAGGGGCAGGAGAAGACAAAGAGGAGAGACCTGGTGCAGACGGCCACTTTCTCGGGATCGTGGATGTACGGGCAGCTCTCCCCCCGGTTGCATTTGCCAAAGCGGTTGTAGTACATGCAATATTCCTTCTTTCGCTCTTTCCGCTGCTTGGCCTGGCGGATGATGGCGAGGCTCCGCTGCACGGCGCGGCTGCAGGGAGGGAGACAGGAGAAGCCGGGGTTACAATGCAGGCGTTTTGCAGAACAGCGTTAACAGAGCTGGGAGGGACCGTGGAGGTCTTCTAGTCCAGCCCCCGTTCAGGCAGGAAGCCCTTACAGAATAACAGAAGGGATCTTGGAGGTCTTCTAGTCCAGCCCCCTGCTCAGGCAGGAGACCCTTACAGAATAACAGAGCCTGAAGGGATCTTGGAGGTCTTCTAGTCCAACCCCGTTCAGGCAGGAAGCCCTTACAGAATAACATAGCTGGGAGGGACCGTGGAGGTCTTCTAGTCCAACCCCGTTCAGGCAGGAGACCCTTACAGAATAACAGAGCCTGAAGGGGCCCTGGGGATCATCTAGTCCAGCCCCGTGCTCAGGCAGGAGACCCTAGACCATTCCAGACAAATGGCTGTCCAATCTCTTCCTAAAAACCTCCAGTGTTGCAGCATCCACAACATCTGGAGGCAAGCTGTTCCACTGGCTAATTGTCTTCACTGTCAGGAAATTCCTCCTTAATTCTAAGTTGCTTCTCCCCTTGGTCTTTTTTTTTTTTTTTTGCGGGGTGGGGGGGTGGGGAAGAAAAGCAAAAATGAAGCAGACCCACAACTCAAAGACAGGAACGGAAACGACGCGGAGGGCGGAGAACAGGTTGAAATTTCAGGAGAACTGGACTTCCGACTACGTCCAGCTTGCCTATCAGCTGGGCACCGATCACTTTAATTCACTCAGCACTGAGCGGCCAAGCGTTGGAACGACATTATTCAAGCATTTATTGAAAAAGAGCCGGTAATATTCAATCGCGATGGGGGAATGTCTACCGGTTGCATTCATCAATTTGTGCATTGTTAACCCGCGTGGGCTGCGTTGCTGGGATTAAATTACTGCGGTGTCTCCAAAATTCAGCTTGGAAGGCGATGCAGGAAATAGGGAATTTAAAAGAGCCGCCTGGGAAAAATCGAAGCCGAATCGAAGCGGCGGCCGTGAGCCCCTCTGCGACGTAAGGGGCGTGGGCTGTGGATGATAGGCTTGGTTACTCCCAGGAGGCAGAGGTGTGGGTCTTGGCTAAGAGATCCCTCATGGCAGAGCTACTCGCTTTGGATTTGACAAAGGAGGTGGGATTGAATTTCGTTTCCTAGCCTAAAGCAGGTGATATTCTGGTTCCTGGAACAATGGTCTACAGTGGCCCAAGGATAATTTTTTATTTATTTGTTTGGTTTTCACCCCAGCTTTATTACTTTATCAGTAACTCCAGACAGCAAGCGTAGCTGGTAGTCCTTCCTCCTCCTAATTTCCCAGCAACAGCAACCCAGCGAGGTGGGTTGGGCTGCGACAAAGAGACTGGCCCAAAGTCACCTAGCTGGCTTTCATGGCTAAGGCAGGACTAGAATTCCCCGTCTCCTGGTGACTGGCCCAAAATCACCCAGTCGGCTTTCATGTCTAGGGCAAGACTAGAATTCCCAATCTCCTGGTGACTGGCCCAAAATCACCCAGTTGGCTTTCACGTCTAGAGCAGGACTAGAATTCCCAATCTCCTGGTGACTGGCCCAAAATCACCCAGTCGGCTTTCACATCTAGGGCAGGACTAGAATTCCCAATCTCCTGGTGACTGGCCCAAAATCACCCAGTTGGCTTTCACGTCTAGGGCAGGACGAATTCCCAATCTCCTGGTGACTGGCCCAAAATCACCCAGTTGGCTTTCACGTCTAGGGCAGGACGAATTCCCAATCTCCTGGTTACTGGCCCAAAATCACCCAGTCGGCTTTCATGTCTAGGGCAGGACTAGAATTCCCAATCTCCTGGTGATTGGCCCAAAATCATGCTTAGGGTGGGACGAGAACTCGTCGTCACTTGGTGATTGGACCAAAATCACCCAGTTGGCTTTCCTGTCTAGGGCAGGACTAGAATTCCCAATCTCCTGGTGACTGGCCCAAAATCACCCAGCTGGCTTTCATGTCTAGGGCAGGACTAGAACTTACCATCTCCTGGTAATTGGGCAAAAGGCACTCAGTCAGCTTGCATGCCTAAGGCGGGACTAGAACTCCCAGTCTCCTAGCGATTGGTTCCAAGTCGCTCAGCCAGCTTCCGTGCCTGAGGCAGGACGGGAACTCACCGATTCCTGGTTTCACCTCCACCATTACGCCAAGATGGCTCTCCACCTGGGGCGTTTGCCTGTGCCGACAGCTGATTGGGTGGGCCCTGCCCATTTCGGTTGGCCTCCGAGAACCAGGCCCCCAACCAGCTAGGTGCTGTGGCTGGGGGATCCGTAGGGTCTCCAAGGGAGCCGTTTTGGGAATCACAGACTTTTCTAAAAGGGACGCTGACCTTCAGAGGGATCTAGGGATTTGTAGCATGGACGGCGCCCAGCGATGGCTGGCTGTCACCCCCCTCCCCGCGGTGAAATGCGGGGGTGGATGTATTGCCAGGGCGCTTTCACAAACACAACAAACCTTGCGATGTAGCGGCTGGTGATTGAGCGGCTGGGCCAGCTTGGTGGGGAATACCCAGGAGCGCCAGGCGCCGAGTCCGGCCGTGCGGCTGCGGGAGAAAAAAGAATGGGTTCAGAGAGAGAATCCTACCCTGGGTATTAACATGTAGGTAGGTTTTACAGGTGGTCCTCGACGTACGACGATTCGTTTAGTGACCGTTCGAATGATAATCACATGATCCCAGTCACGAATCCCTTTTTTCAGTACCCCTTTTTCAGCATTTAGTACTGTATTTCCCTTGAATATAAGCCCCAGTTAAGATCGCCAGCCAGACGGAGGCATTCAGTACCGTATTTCCCCAAAAATAAGCCCCAGTTAAGATCGTCAGCCAGACGGAGGCATTCTGTACCGTATTTCCCCCCAAATAAGCCCCAGTTAAGAGCCAGACAGACGCATTTAGTACCATATTTCCCCCAAAATAAGCCCCAGTTAAGATCGCCAGCCAGACGGACACATTTAGAACCATATTTTCCAAAAATAAGCCCCAGTTAAGATCGCCAGCCAGACGGAGGCGTTTAGTACCGTATTTCCCCCAAAATAAGCCCCAGTTAAGATCGACAGCCAGACGGACACATTTAGAACCGTATTTTCCAAAAATAAGCCCCAGTTAAGATCGCCAGCCAGACGGAGGCGTTTAGTACCGTATTTCCCCCAAATATAAGCCCCAGTTAAGATCGCCAGCCAGACGGACACATTTAGTACCATATTTCCCCCCAAATAAGCCCCAGTTAAGATCGTCAGCCAGATGGACACATTTAGAACCGTATTTTCCAAAAATAAGCCCCAGTTAAGATTGCCAGCCAGATGGACACATTTAGTACCGTATTTTCCCAAAAAAATAAGCCCGTTAAGATTGCCAGCCAGACTGACGCATTTAATACCGTATTTCCCCCAAATATAAGCCCTATCCTGGAAATAAGTCCTAGTGCAAATTTCGGAGCAAAAATTAATATAAGACCCGGTCTTATTTTCGGGGAAACATGCAATCATATTCCGGCTTCTGACAGCCAAAGTCAAAGGGGGGAAGCCAGGATTGTGTGATTCGCTTAACAACAGCGGCAAAAAAAAAAAGGATGACGAAATGGGACAAAACCCATTTACTGCTTTGTTTAGCCACAGAAATCTGAGCCTCCGTTCGTGCTGTAGGTGAAGGACTTACCTGTATATAAAGTTTTTATTGCACAAGCTTTGCTTGTATTTTTTTCTTTAAATGGAATTTTAGTTTCCAGCAAGGACAGTAATATTTTAAAAGTTGTAAACTGGTCAACTTTGATTGGCAGGGCAGGATTTTGGGGGGGGGTCTTCAAACCTGGCAACTTTGAGACATGTGGACTTCAATTCCCAGAATTCCTCAGCCAGCTTTGCTTGTATTGTTTCTTTAAATTGAATTTTAGTTTCCAGCACGGACAGTAATATTTTCAAAGTTGTAAACTGGTCAGGTTTGATAGGCAGGGCAGGATTTGGGGGGGGGGGGCTTCAAACCTGGCAACTTTGACACATGTGGACTTCAATTCCCAGAATTCCCCAGAATTCCCCCTAGCTTAAAGTCGCCAAGGTTGAAACACACTGAATTAGAGGCTTTATATCACTGAATTGCTCTCTATCAATTGGTCACCTGTCCTGGCATTGGGCAAACATCCACCTATAAGACAAAGGTCAAGCTGCAAAGAAACAGGGGTGGGGTCTTGTTTAGTGGACACTGCTGTCCATCACAGTCTCAAGGGGGGCAGGAGAAAGGCAGCACAGCCCGGTCAAGACATCAAGGCGAGACATTACACAAACCGCCTCTGTTTTATTCCCTGATACTGGTTATTGACCCCCCCCCAACCCTGACCCTGCCCTGTGGGCACCAGCTGGATCCAGTCCTGGCAACGTCTTTGTGCCCCCCTCCTCCCCATACACAACAGGTCTTTGCTTCTGACCATCTCAACCAGGTGTCTTTAACCAGGTATGAAGTGTTACTCTGTCATCTCCCATTTCGCCCGGTTGCCGAGTTGGGTGGGAAGTGTTGAGACAAACAGAAAGAAAAAATTTTGATTGATGCCCACACCAGACAACTAAATGGCTGGCATCAATAAAGAACAAAACCGCCCAGACGCCAACGAAGCAGTAATTCCAATTTAAACAACCAAACGAAAACAACAGACAAATGAACTGCCTCACAAATCTCCAAAGGATGCTCTTTGATCTGGGGTCTCTGAGCAGCTCTTAAATCAGACCCCACCGGTGGTCTACCTGCTCAGCCTCCCCCCCACACACACAGAGCGGCCCAAAGAGGACCCAGACAGGTGAGGCATCCCACACCTAAGTCCCTTTAAGGCAGAGGTAGTCAACCTTGGCTCTTTTATGACTCGTGGACTTCAATTCCCAGAATTCCTGAGCCAGCTTAGCTGGCTCAGGAATTCTGGGAGTTGAAGTCCACAAGTCATAAAAGAGCCAAGGTTGACTACTTCTGCTCTAAGGCTTCCAGAATCTCCATCTCCCTCTGCAGAACCCATTGGACCAAGTGGACCATCCCTTGAATAGGAGCCAGCCGTGTGCTGCAGCTGCCAAAAAAGCCAACACAGGGCTAGGCTGCATTAACAGAGGGAGAGAATCAAGATCACGTGAAGGGTTAATACCACTTTACAAGGCCTTGGTAAGGCCACACTTGGAATACTGCATCCAGTTTTGGTCACCACAATGTAAAAAAGATGTTGAGACTCTAGAAAGAGTACAGAGAAGACCAACAAAGATGATTAGGGGACTGGAGGCTAAAACATATGAGGAATGGTTGCTTTAATTGGGTATGTCTAGTTTAACGAAGAGAAGGACAAGGGGGGACATGATAGCAGTGTTCCAATATCTCAGAGCTGCCCCAAAGAAGAGGGAGTCAAGCTACTTTCCAAAGTGCCTGAAGGCAGGACAAGAAGCAACAGGTGGAAACTAATCAAGGAGAGAAGCAACCTAGAACTAAGGAGAAACTTCCTGACAGTTAGAACAATTAATTAGTGGAACAACCTGCCTCCAGAAGCGGTGAATGCTCCAACACTGGAAGTTTTTAAGAAGAGACTGGACAGCCATTTGTCCGAAATGGTATATAGGGTTTCCTGCTTGAGCAGGGGGTTGGACTAGATGACCTCCAAGGTCCCTTCCAACTTGATGACAATGATGATGATGTTGCTAGACCCACTCCCAAAACTGACTTCGTAAATTCATGAACTCAGAAGAACGAAGCAAAGCATTCAGCGGGGTCCTGCCACTCCTGGCCAGCCTCTCTTCTCCTGAGACAGGCCTCTGTCCATGAGCTGGGATTCTCCTTCCTTCGGACACCTGGGCCTTGAGCAGGACTTAGTGGATCGGCTCCCAACCAGAAGGACATCAAGACAAAAAAAAAAAAAAAGGAAGGAAGGAAGGAAGGAAGGAAGGAAGGAAGGAAGGAAGGAAGGAAGGAAGGGAGGGAGGGAGGGAGGGAGGGAGGGAGGGAGGGAGGGAGACAGACCAGGTGAGGTTGGTCTTCTTTGAACTGGGCTGTCTGGACTCCACTGCTGGAGCAGGTTCAGCCCCCAAAGGGAGGCCTCTGTCATTCCCGAGGCGTCCCCTGCCCACATTCCCCACCTGGCGCGACGGGAGTTCCAGTGCCCTCAGCCAAGATGTGTGCCAGAGCGCTCCAGGTGGGGCTGAGCATCCCTCCCTCGCTCACCTGCCAAGCCGGCTGCGTTCCCGAGTGAGCGAGTGGAATTTGATAGCGCATCAACCGGCGCTCCTTTCACCGGGGCTGTCACGCGGCCGACTGGTGCCGGCACAGCCCCATCTGTTCCCTGTGCAAACACAGCACGGGGGGGGGGGCTGCCTCGAAGGAGTGTGCGTGTGTATGTGTATGTGTGTGTTTGTCTCTCAGCAACAGAGGGACCTGTAGAATCCAGCAATGCAAAGGCCACAGGGGTCCCAGAGAGAGGAGGACCCCCCCCCTTGCTAAAGTTCATGGGATACACCGCAGCGTCCAGGCTGGCTGCTGCTGGTTTGGTGGTGCCTGGTGGTGAGAAAAAAGGGCCTTCGCGGTGGGAATTTTGGCAAGAACCGCCATTGGCGCTTCCCGGCCTGAAACAGTGCACATCAACCAACTTGTTTGGGGAAAAGGTACTAAACCAGCGGTTCTCAACCTGTGGGTCGGGACCCCATTTGGGGTCGAACGACCATTTCACGGGGGTCGCCAAACAACGCAGTCCGCCATTTTTTCCCCCCTTTTCCTTAGCTGTGCTACTCCCTTTTATTCTATTGGCTTTCGAAAGCCAATAGAATAGTCTCTCTTGAATAGAGTCTAATTCCATTGGCTTTCCAAAGCCAATAGGAATGGTCCAGGCTGTCTCTGCCCTGCTGAGCCCGCCAAAAGTCCCATTCTGCAAACGGTGCTGCACCCGTTGAGTAGTCTTTGACTTACGACCGGTTGGGTAGTCCTCGACTTACGACCGGTTGGGGGGTCACGGCATTAAAAAGGTTGAGAACCACTGTATTAAACCAAAGATACAAAGAGAAAGAGGGAAGGTTTGAAAGCCTTCCGAGGGGTGGCAGGCAGCACTTTGCATTCTGCAGGGCTATTATGGGTTGTCCTCGGCTTACGAGTTGAGCCCCACATGCGTTTTGCCCCATTTTACGACCTTCCCTGCTAAAGTTGCTAAGCAAACTGCTGCAGTTTTTAAATGAGTAAGCCGGTTGTTAAGTGAACCCCATTGACTTTGCTGGTCAGAAAGCCGCAAAAGGGAATCACGTGACACACACACCTCCCCGGGACGCTGCGACCGTCATAAATACGTCAGTTGCCGAGCGTCTGAAGTTTGGTCACGTGACCACGGGGGATGCCGCAACGGTCGTTAATGGTGAAAAATGGACCTAAGTCGCTTTTTTTCAGGGCTGTCGTCACTCTGAGCGGTCACTAAATGGATAGTTGTAAATAGAGAACTGCCTGCACTGACGACAACGGCTTGTGGCTTAGTGTGATGTGTTAACGGATCAGTGATTGGTTGTAAGAAGGATTTCCTGTACCAAACAATTCCATCGGAGTTTAGGCGA